AAGAGATTTAACATTAACTAGGGTTGTTGTTTATGGGAACTAAGGATCACGTTACAGTTGTGTGACTGCACAATGCATAAAAACTACCATGCACACCATTTGCTGATTTAACAATTGACTACCCTGTTGTGCAATAAAATGGGTTCATTTGATTTGGTAATGTTAACTTGATTTATAATATAGAGTAAAAAATCTGCAAGGCTCATGTGAAATAAGGAATTTCATACCTCCTACCACAGTTAATAAGATACAAGAAGCCCAGAGGGCATGTATCACTCACCTGGATATTTGAGCAATCATGGGAAAATATTCTTAATGAAAGTACTTTTGCAAATATTTCCATATATTAAGTCTCCTTGGTTTAAGCATGTTCCAGACTAAATGAAACTTGATACTACTCTATCCCAGCATGCTAATGGACAAATATCACCAATGGTCTCCTGGTATTAAAGAAGAGGTTTATAAAGATATTTGCATATTTGACCCCTGTGACCGTGTAAGAAGGTCAAGGTAATTTATTTGAGAAAACTTTATATCACTCTGACCGAGGTACCTGGCCAGGTATTATAACTCTGGGCCTCCTGGCTAATCTGAAGAAGTTGTTTCAAAGTTTTTACATAGTTGACCCCTGTGACCTTGAATGTAGGTCAAGGTCATTTATTTGAGGAATTGTATATTACTCTGTCCCAGGTACCTTCTACCCAAGTTTCAGTACTCTGAATGTCTTTGTTATCTTGAACAAGATGTTTAAAAGTTTTAAACACATTTGACCTTTGTGATCTTTAAAGTACAGTGTAGGTCAAAGTCATTTATTTGTGGCAATTTATAGCATTCTGCCCCATGTATCTACTGGCCAAGTATTATTACTCTGGGACTCTTGGTTATTCTAAAGAAGTTGTTGAAAGGTTTTTACATATTTGAGTTCTGTGACCTTGAAGCAGATCAAGGTCATTTATCTAGGTAAATTTTTTATCACTCTGTCTCAAGTAATAGGTACCTACTTGCCAAATATCATTGCTCTTAGCCTCATGGTTATTCAAAAGTTTTTTAACACATTTTTACCCTTGTGACCTCGAAAGTAGGTCAAGGACATTTATTTGAGGAAATGTATATTACTCTGTCCCAGGTATCTACTGCCCAAGTTTCAGTATTCTGGGCCTCTTGGTTATTCTGAAGAAGATAATTAAAGGTTTCAAATACATTTGACCCTTGTGATCTTTTAAGTAGTTCAAAGTCATTTATTTGAAGAAACTTAATAGCACTTCATGCGTGGTACCTACTAGCCAAGTATTATTATTCTGGGCCTCCTGGTTATTTGGAAAAGTTGCTCAAATGTACATATTTGACCCTTGTGGCCTTGAAAGTAGGTCATGGTCTTTTATTTGAGGAAATTTATAGCACTCTGTCCCAGATACCCACTGACGAAATATTATTACTCTGTGCCTCTTGTTTGTTCAGAAGAAGATGTTTAAAGGTTTATGACACAGTTGACCCTTGTGATCTTTAAAGTAGGTCAAGGTCATTTATTTGAGGAAACTTTATAGCACTTCATGCCAGGTATCTACTGGCCAAATATAAGTACTCTGGGAAGTTGCTTAAAGGTTTTGACATACTTAACCCCTGTGACCTTGAAAGTAAGTCAAGGTCATTTATTTTAGGAATCTTAATAGCACTCTGTCCCAGGTACCTTCTGACACATATTATTAATCTGGGCTTCCTTGTTATTCAGAAGATGTTTAAAGGTTTAAAACACATTTGACCTTTGTGATCTCTAAAGTAGGTCAAGGTCATTAATTTGAGAAAACGTTAAAGCACTTCATACAAGGTACCTACTGGATTAGTATTGGTACTCTGGGCCTCCCGTTTATTGAGAAGAAGTTGTTGAAAGTTGTTTTTTTACATATTTAACCCCTGTGACCTTGAAAGTAGGTAAAAGTCCTTAATTTGAGGAAACATTATAGCACTCTGTCCCATGTACCTATTGGTCAAATATCATGGCCCTAGGTCCTCCAATTCATAAGAAGTCGTTCAAAGAAAATGTTGACAGAAACCGGACAACACACCATACCATAAGCTCAACTGGCACCTTGTGCCAGGTGAGCTTACAAGAAATGTCCCTTTTACCAGCTAGTAACAGGTTACTCTGTATCTGTATGTTTATGAACAAGAGTTTTATTTACACACGTGTTGATTAAGGTCGCTTCTAAATAACTTTGGACAAAATAGATAAGCATATACTGTATGTAGCAGAGCTGGACTGGGTCAATTATCGACGACCAGGTAGCTCAATTGGTAGAGCATCTGTCAAGAGTTTGAATCAAAAAGTATGAAAGTGGAGGCCTTAAAATGATTAACATCAATAATTTCATATCTAGTTTGAAGTCCATTTAGATACGAAGATTACTGAAAAATAATGGGAAAAGCTGGATACACATTTTTGAAGCAGAGCACTTTCCAGTAGAAAATATATCGGATATGGGAATTGATTTTATTAAAAATTTTAAGACTAGTAATATGTTTTGGAAGGATGTTTTTAAGGCATGGGTAAATGTTTCAGAAGTAACACATGTAAAATCTATTAAGCAGTTCTTAACTCTCCCAATCTGGTATAACCCACTTTTTGGTATTGGCAAAAAGTCTTTTTTTGTCCGAAAATGGTTCGATCGGGGTGTTAAAAATGTTTGTGATCTATTAGAGCAAAATAATGTTTTTTTAACTTTTGTAAATTTTAAACTGAAATACAATATAAACTCTGGAAACTTCTTGATTTATCATAGTATATGCCAGTCTATTAGGCAATGTTGTGAACAATTAAATTATAACTTAACTGCAGAAACAACTTTGGAGAGGCCCTTCATACCAAGTCATATTTATATTATCATAAAGAA